CCCCAAAACCCCAAAACCCCAAAACCCCAAAACCCCAGAACTAAAATTAAAATTTGAATTTAAATGGGAATTTACAACCTCTTACAAGTACTCAAGTCAATTCAGACGACCACTTCATTAAAGAAATATTCTGGCAAGACCATTGGAATTGATGCATACTGATGGCTGCACCAAGGAGCATATATTCTTGTAAGCCTACCCTCTCCTTCTCTAATATGTATTAATGATTTTACCAATCTGATATAGAGTGAAAGTTATATCCAGGGCAACTTTGAGGTTGGTAAGACACTATTCTTAACCAAAAACTTCTCGTGAGGAGTCTATAGTTCTATTCCTCTTACTCATTCACTATAGGAGATGAAGGTCCATACAAGCGATTATAGTTAAGTTCATCATGAACAAAGTCCGACAATTATAAAGAACTATAAGATCAAACCCATCTTCGTCTTTGACGGAGGAAGACTCCCCATGAAGAAAGAATGTGAGAAGAAGAGAAGGGACTTCAAAGACTCTAAGAAGAGAGAACTTGAAGAAATCCTTAAAGGTAAAGACCTTAAAGAGGCATCCAAACTCTGAGCTCAAGTTATTGACATTACTTCTCTTCATGCTTATGCACTCATCGATGAGCTTGTTGCTTCAGGAATTGAATATTATGTGGCTCCTTACGAAGCAGATGCACAGCTTGCTTATCTGTTCAACATTGGCAAGGTAGATGCTGTATTTACAGAGGACTCTGACCTTCTTGCCTTTGGGGTAAAAACAGCTATCTTCAAAAGAGGCACAATCGGTATTCTTCTTGGTCTAAATTTAGAAATAAATATGAAAAATTTGAGTAAAACTCAGAATTTAGATCTCTCAGTGGTGAATGAAGATGAGTTCCTTCTCCTATGTATCATGAGTGGTTGAGATTACCTACCTAGTATCAAGGGAATAGGATTTAAGAAAGCTTACAAGCATTTTATAGATTGTGGGAAAGACATCAAATCTACACTCACAAGGATGAAGATTAAATCTCTTCCAGTTCCTGGGGGTTACTTCAAAGGTAAACACTCCAAGTTAATTATAGATCTTATTAAAGCATTTATTACATTCAAACTTCAGGTTGTATACTGCCCACAAGACAAGAAAATGAGATATCTCAGTGAAGACTTTGATCAGTTATCAGATGAAGATAAGATTTTAAAAATTGAATCACTTTTTCAAAACATTTCAGTTAAAAAGAAGGATATCCAAGCAGCAAATTTTTCTAAAGGTAAATTTTAATTATCAAAATTTTTAACTTTTGCTGTATGTTTTGATCCAAAAATTAGTTAAATAAAAATGTATGGATGTTTAAACAGTCTGATAATCTCCCCTCCAGATCTAACATTTGTTGGAAAGCCGATCACCGACCCAGTGATTCTTAAAAACCTTGTTCGAGGCAGGATCGACCCGATGACTCACAAACTCTTGCATCTTAATTACATTGAACTCAACAAATCTTTATCAAAAATTGTCCCAAAATCAAAAACAACTCCTAAAATACCGCAAATTTCTAAAAGGACCCGCAAGAAACCACCCAAACCGTCAAACAATATGCTAATATCCCACTTTTTCAAGCAAAAGAAACCAGAAATCAGTCCAGAATCCTCAAAATCAAAAAACCCAAAAGCCTCAAACCAAAAATACAAAATCTCCTTCGGTCCTTTCCTGCCTCTAAAAGCCACAAACCGCATCAAAAAATCCAAAAGGACCTCTCTAAGCCAAGATCTGACCAATTCTATCCAAAAAATGCCCAATCCCTTCGAATGACTCAACAAGAACAACTCCTCCTTAGATACCGCCAGCATGTTGGAGTCACAGCCCAAGGATTCCAGCGTTGATCTCCCTCAGAGTCCCCCTAAAGCTTCAAAATACTTTTCATAATTAACTGTGATCAATATTCAAAATAATAATTGGGGTTTTGGGGTTTTGGGGTTTTGGGGTTTTGGGG